TCTCTCTCTCTCTCTGTCTCTCATGAATAAATAAATAAAATCTTTAAAAAAAAAAAAAATTTAGACTACTAGCTAACACTTTAAGGCTGAATTACTGATAGAGAGAACCAAACAAATCTGCAAATGACATAATTCCAGGAAAAACCTGCAAGAAGAAAAAAAATCACCATAATGTACTACACAGGTCACCTGTGAAGAACATCTTCAGTCATAACTTTGTAAAGGCTGAACTCACATTTAACCGAAGTATAACTATGGCAAATGATGTTGATTTACCCAGATTATTGGAAGACAAGTACCAAAATAATCAGCTAAAAGAGGTACAAGTGGTCGCTCTCTGCGGGGGCAAACCAGGGGTGGGCAAGGAGCAAAGACTATTGTTCATCTTTAAAACTCTGCAGAACGACTCTTTGAAATAAATGACTTTAATTTCGGTCATTTAAAATGTGTGCTCCAGGGGCGCCTGGGTGGCTCAGTCGTTAAGCGTCTGCCTTCAGCTCAAGTCATGATCCCAGGGTCCAGTGAAAACTCTCGCTGGATAATCACCAATTTGAGGACTGACAAAATATTTACTATCTAACGTTTTAGACAAACATGAAAATCTACTCACAACTTCAAACAAACAAAAATCCCTTACCAGTAAGAGGCGGCTACAGTTGAAAAGGTAGAAATTTTCTCTGTATCGGGACAATTTTGAATCATTCTATTTTGGTCTTGGACAGCTCAGAAAGATGACTGAAGCGCCCTTTCACACATTGCAGTGAACAAACCAATCAACAGTAAGTACCAAGTTGAAGGGAGTCCTTGCTAGTTCGGCCACTCTTGTTTTTAATAGAGGAGGAGGAAGCATAGTCTCAAAAGGTTTAAAAAAAATTACTAAAAATCGGACTCAACCTATTAAATCAATAGCAAAAATACCCTCAAAAGGTCGACTTAAGGACCCTACATTTAACAAATTTTAGTCCCGAATGAGAGAATTGCCAAGGGAAATTTCCAAAGAATGTGATGATTTCTAGGACAGAATTCTAACGTTCAAAACTCAATCCACTGGTCAATACAAGTAAATAATTTTTCTTGCAATTTGATGGAAGCTAACCATTCCTTCCTATTAGGATGAACCTACCACGAGATCGCTCAAATTTGGGCTGTAAAATCCTGCTTGGGCTCAGTCACGTTCCTAATTATTCCACAGGTGCAGGGTTCCGCCCTGCTTTGGGTCAGAAAGAAACGCTGACTGTTCTCAGCTGCAGTGATTTGGGTCACTTGGAGAACACCCTCGAGGCGAGGTTCCCAGGGTTTCCAGGCTTTAAGGTTAACGGATACCCACTAGGTATGGATGGCGGAGAGCTGGTTTTTGGAAGCAGGAGCCCCCGCCCCCCGTCCCCCGTAACCACCCCCACCACCACCACCCAAAGCCAAGTGGGGCTGGGCCGGAAGCCAAGACGCAAGTACCGTTTCCTGCCTGGGGGCCGCAGGTGCAGTGGGCCCCCAGCTCCGCCGACACCTCCACCGCCCTCTGCAGCAGGTAGCGCGCTCGCTTGCGCGTCAGGGCGTCCTGGGCCTGCGCCAGCCCCGCCTGCACCGTCCTCCAGAAGCGCCAGCAGCGCCGCGCGTCGGGGTCCTCTTCGCCCGCTCCGGGACCACGGTCGGCGCGGGGCTCGGGCAGCAGCCTCTCGGCCAGGGCGCTCAGCACCAGCAGCTGTGGCCTGACGCAGTCCGGTTCCGAGGGCGCCCCGGCCGCGACCAGCCCGCTCCATACGACCCGCAGCACCGCCCCACCGCACTGGCCCAGCGCCGGCAGCAGCCTCCCGGCCGCCAGCGCCGCCGCGTCCTCCGC